ACACACACACACACAGAAAAATACAACCAGAAAACTGGAAAAGGAGGTTTTAATACAGCTTATGTGACATTCATGCTTGGAACGAGCTAATTTGTATAATATGTCGTCCAAATGACCACAACAGAAACTAGCCTTTATTATAAATTATTCAAATAGGGATAACAAATAATTTGGCCAAATAATTAGTCAATTGAGAGAGATTTGAAAAGAGAAAATAAAACATTAGCTTTTATGCATTTGCTGCATTAAAGTTAAGTTAAAGGACCAGTGTGTAGGATATAGTGCCATCTACTGGTGAAGTTTGCCACAGCAGAAATCTGAATATGTGCCCCTGTCAGTATATAGGCTCTAGAGTGGCCTTCAGCACACTGTGCATGCTTCAACACAGAAACTGAGATACATAACAGAGAAAAGTATTACAGTACATCTATAGAGCAGTAATGTACTCATGAAAATAATATCTTAGCTCCATCTGTACACACACAAAAAACTGTTCATTCGTGAGGAAGAGATCATATTCAAGCTCTCTACAGCATAGAGTGTGGGCTTTTTTGTTTGTGATAGGGAACACTAATTTAAATAGTGTCCGTGGTGATAGTGTCTGTCCTTCTGACACTAATAAACTAAAGTGTGCAGACTGGCAGCCATACAACTAAAACACTGTCAAGGCCTAGCCTATATTATAAAGCCTGTTTCAACTCCATTAATCCACCTCATTCACTTTTCACAACTGTCTGTCTTCCATGAATATAGGATTGCAATTTGTGACAGTGTGTCCTTCGTGACACTCAAAGCCAGCTGCCTCCCCCATCAATATCAGCAAAAAGAGGGAAAAAATTAAACCTTCTCAAAACATATACTGTAGCGGTGCATTGATTTAATATACTGCCATAAGCCCTTGCTCCTACACTCGACATGCAATTTGGAAATAAATTGACTGATTTAGAGGCATAGGGAGAAGTGGAGAAAAAAAAAAGAAACCTGACGTAAACCTGGTCCGCTACTATTGAGTAAGGTGACATTGCGCAACAAATCACTTGCATGAATAGAGAAAGAAAACGATTTCTATTTCTAAAAAGTAATTTTGTTTGGGGAAGGTGCTTTGATTGCCATGTATGTGAATCTATTCCTCACTCGACTCGAGGAGCATGAACATTTTTATGAAAGTCAATGTTATATTTTGCTGTTAGCATAATAATCAGAGAGGCTTTCAGACTTTCATCCAAAGAATAACAGAATCTCATTTATTCCAAGTACATAATAGAAGGCCAACTGCAACAGCCTATCTCTCCCGTGCCTTGTATACAGCTGTGGAGGAGCAGAAAGAGTTGACTTTTCCAGCAGTCCATTGTGTTTTAATTGAAGAATAATTAAGTAATTAAAGGCTTGATAAGAGAGAGGCACAGTAAACAGATAAAAGACAAGTGCTGGTATTAACAGTATGGTGCAGAGAGAACGGGACAGTGAAGCCATACCTCCGATATGGCTTCACTAAAAACAAGACAAAGCATCAAAAGCACTAGTGAAAATGGGCCACCAGTCTGAATGTCATTTCTTAAAAGAGCTTGTGGCTGTGAATATGCACATGGTCAGATTTAAAATGTAATACTTCCCAGCTGGATTTTGGGAATGGGGAGCGCACTCTGATATTTTCACCACTCTGACATTAGCGGGTTTTATTTTTTGAGTAATTGCACAGCTTGATGTGTACTCAGGGGTTTCCATGAGAACGATGAAAGTCTTATTTCAACAATGCTGCAATTATGGGGGAATATGGAAATACATTTTGAGCCAGTTCACAGTTGAGTTGACTGGAATAATAGGAATAGAAAACAGAAACAGGGAGAAAACGGCGGAAAATGGCCGTTTCAAAACTCAACTGTCTTTAAAATATCAGCCCATTGTTAAAAGAATCCTTACAACTAAATGTTTAATACCGTCTATGTGTCAAACACTGCAGCATATCCATATTACTTTGAAACAGTTCATGGTGCCAGAATTTCCGAAATAGTGGTATCAGCTTTATGCGACATACAGCAGCCATAATCTGTGTTGGCATCATATGCTGGTTGGCAGTGATAATCTATAATCCATTCATCCAGAGAAGATACACAAATGCATATTTGTTTCCCAGGATTAAAAGCTTATAGCGGGAGTATGGCATGGCCAATAATGTTCATCCATGCCAGCTATGACAGAATATTCAGCTGCATTGTGGATGCAGGTTTTCTTCATTTATGTCACGAGGCAGTGTCCCAAGCAATATTCAGTTTTTGATTGAAAAATCTAAATGAAATATTTTCCATGATGAAAATCTGTCCGTCAGATCTGTCCCCTGATCCAGATCTGCACAAAAATGATTCACAGAAATCTGGTGAAAACAGGTAAAAAAGTATTTCATTCAAAATATCTACACAGTAATGATGACTCGATTGCTTTAAGAGTCTTCACTTAGCTTCTATCTCCATGGTGTCCACAAGAATGAGATTGGGATGGGACTTTGTCCATGTGCTGGTTGTCCTACAGGTTGTAAATCATAAATTATTGTCTTGTTTTATTTTTTATTGACTGATTTTATTTGCCTGTGTCCTGTCATATTTTATGTTGTTTTAACTTTGTAAAGCACTTTGTAAATTTGTTCTGAAAAGTGCTGAATAAATAAAGTTTATTAATAGAAGTAGTAGTAGTATTGTGTACTAAGTGGGCTTAACATATTGTAAGAAACCCATATTTTTCTGTGGTACATTAGTTTCCTTACATTGAAGAAACCCAGAAATCCTGAAGTGACCAACTCATCACACATTAAACAGCCCAGTGTTTTATGAGCACTTTGTTATCCTCTATGAGAAAAACAATATTCTTTATAGATGATTAGACCTTGTTGCTTTGTACAGTCAATCACAGCGAGAGTGTGAAGTGTTGTTATGTGAGCTAAGGACTAGAAATGTACAAATACTGGAATAGTAGTAATCACACTGGTGGATTTGTTCTGTAATGAATTAACTTGTTTTGCCCACCACCCACTCAGTTATAGTGGATTGACCCACACAAGAGCTGCACTTGACTCGTAGAGTTGAAGAGAACAGAGCAGTTTGAAACATTAGAGGACTAGATTTCAGAGTAATACTGTTTTATATGGGTACAGACCAAAGGCTGTTAGGAAAGAATACTGTAAAACTGAGCCTCACAATGCAACCACAAATCCCAACCCAAGTTCATGAGTGAAAATTATATTTAGTAGTAGAGGACCGGCCAAAAGGATTTTACAACCCACAGCATCTTAAAATAAAAATCGTCAGAGGTGGCCCAGTTAGCCCTTCTCTGACCTCGCAGCACAAACTGTAGCAGCAGGCCACAGAGCGCTCAACTCTCTTCAGCGCCAACTACTGGAAAAACAAAAGACCTCGAGGTCAGAGTCGTTGGATATGACTTTACAAAAGTCCTATTCACACAGGTTATCCAGGGCAGCTCTCACTAGAGGTTCAGAGGTACCAATTCCACAGGGATACCAAGCACTAGACAGCAGGCCTCAGCCTCCGAAGCAGCACTTAATAACCATTTAATTAGCACATGGCTCCTCACTGTGTGTTCATGGGCTTTGTGGCCGGCTTCAAATGCTGCCACAAATACATCTAACATAGGGCAACTCACCCTTTCTAAAGCACTTCCAAGAGAGGTGTGCTGGCTATATGGACTCTCTAATGCACTAAGAGCTTAAAATCAATTCCAAAGGTAGCTCGTGAAGGGACGCGAGAATATGAGTGTTCCCTTCGTACCAAATAAATGTTAAGCTGATGCATCTGAACACGCAAGTGGCAATAATGGATTTTTTTTTTTTTTTTTTCCAATTTAAGAGTGCAAAGCTTTATGGTACGAAATATGATAAAAGGTTCTGTGTTCAAGCAAAGGTGTAAAATGACTACCATGATTTCAAATGTGAAATGCAGAAAATGAATATATGTAGACTTTCAGAAAACACATTCGTTGCAACAAATTAATTGTGAAATGTGTACATCTATATGTGGGCTACTGTAAAAAATAAATAAAATAAGGTTTGTGCAGGACTTGATTATATAAGTTAGTCCAATAAGGATGTGTAAGGATGTGAGGAATTTGCAAACATGTTTCATTTGCATCTAGCTGCAGAAATGATTTAATCACCCACTTCTGGATGTTTAAGAGATGGTTATGATGACAAAAAAATCCCTGTGGGTTTTGAGAACTGCATAATGGGTGAGGCAACATATTATATCTAGGCAATAAAGGGTCGGCCAAAGGATTAAATACACAGAAAGAATAGAAGTTGATGTAGATATGGGAAACTCTACAGACCTCTTCACAACATTTACATGCCTTTCCTAACTGTAAACTTTTTTTAAAGTTTAAAACCATGGAAGAAATCTGCAATATACATTCTACAGAAATGTGACAGTCAGTGTTTGCATTGTGAACGCACGATGGCAGTGACTATGCAAATGAACACAGATGGACATTGGAGTTGAATCATATTCTCTTTTAAAGACAACAGCCATGACACCTAAATAACCTTTGATCACATGTGTGGCATCAATTACTTATCTGACCCCTGTAGGCTTAAACACATTGATCCCGTTTGAAAAAAAAACAACTCAAGTCTCCTGACAATTCTGTGAAAGATACATCTGCTACTTCCCGTCCCCAGTATGGTCTTTGCTAATAAGTCCCCAATGTCCCACCTGCATGACCTTTGTGCGTGTTGGTGTGAGCTAATGAGCTAAACTGGGGAGTACCTTAAAATGTATGCGACAAACGGTTGGAAGTAAACATCTTATAACTCATTGCAGCTCAGTGAGTTAGCCTTTGCGATTTCCACCCCATTTCATGAAAGACTGATTCACACACAACTATCAACGTAAAAAATATTGGACAGTAATATCACAAGATGAAGTAAGAGATGTATCCCAATGTATAATTCTTAAATAACAACCTCTCCATTATAAAAACGTCCTTTTCTGCATGTGTGTCACGTGATTCATTAACGTTCTGATTTAATGTTTGTGCTCAGTGATTTGTTTTTAATTTGATTTCATCATTTACACTTTTCTATATTTTGTCCCATCCCATATTCCTCAATCGGGACAATAACATTCAAAACTAATTTATTCATAATGTGACCAACTTACTCATGATAAAAATGATTATGTGCCTAACATCAAAGCCCACACAGGCAGCTCGGAGTGAACATCTCTCTCTAGTGAGCAAACAATGAAGAAAACTAAACAAACGACAAACTATCCTTCATCACTAGATTCTGAAATCTATTTAACACCATGTTACTTGAACATTGGACTGAAAAGTTCATTCCCTGTCTTTCAAGTGCCACTCCTCTGTGTGTGAACCTGTACTGCCCCCTGCTGCTGGTTGGTATGAAACACACAGCAGAGATCCCACAGAATTTGGGAGTCGATAGGTCGTGTGTTGTATTCAAGTGTTCATCGTAAATACTAAACTTATACATGCAGGTTGTGTACTCAGAGGCTTTGATCTGGAAAATTTTATGGATCCTGTGTTTACTCTGTTGAAGAAATCATTCCTCTGTCGTAGGACACATGGAAAATGAAAAATATAGTTTGACAGGTTCACATCACATTAGTTTAGCAGGTGCATCTGAGAAACACTTCCCCATTTACTGCTTTTGTCATTTTTTTCCTCCTTGAACCAATCATAACGTGAAGTGCTCAAGCCATCTGTCTGCCATTTCTATTAATCCCATTATAAAAACTGACTGGGAGCTGTCATGAAGATGCACACTGAGGTTCCACAGTGCCTCACGTCAATCAGCAAAGCACTGATTATCCTGACAAACACGTCTCATTCAATCATCGTGACACCACACAGAGTAACACAAGGAGCTGCCTTACCTTGAACCACAGTCTGAGCCAGAGCATCCACGGCTGATTCATTTTCCAGCTCCAGATTCTCGCTGCATCGACCTTAAATCATGGAGATCACACAAAAAACAACAAAACGGGTAAATCAAATGAGGGACAAACATTTTGACATTGTAATAACTCCTGGAGGTCAACACCAATTATTTTGTATTGTTGTGCACTCACTCAAAAAATTAAAGCCTGTGTTTTTAATTTGTGTTTCCGACCACATAAATGATGATGGAGAACCTTTGTAACAAAAAAAAAGATGCATCAGGGAATCTGATTGTTGTGCTTAAGCAAAAATAAACACCATCTTGTTATTTCTCTCACTTTTGGAGAATAATGTTTTTTGTTAATGTGAATTGTTAATGTGCCCGTTGGTCGCCTCGTTGGGGATTTGTTGGTAATATTTCAAACAGCACTTGAACGCAGCAGCTCTAATCTGGTCTAATCTGGGCAGGAACGTCACTAGATGAGAGATGACATCTGTGGACAATAGCTTTAGCTTTACTGTTCAAGTGAAATCACTCTCTGAGACAACATGTCTATAACAACCTGCCAGAAGGTTACTCTCATATCATGCTCCGTTCTCTGTGTTTCTCTTTTCCTGCCCAGAATGCTTTTACCCAGAGCGAGGAAGGAGATGGAGCAGCCGGAGGGTAAGGCAGCTTATCAGATCATCATCCATCTCCATCCTGCTCCATCTCTTTTTTTTGTGTTCCTGATGTTGTTGTTGTTGTCTCCAGCTGTTACTCTCTGCACTGTGCGTTAGGCCAAGGCCCCATCATATTGCACACATGTTCATCATGATGTTACACAATGGATAAGAAGAATACAGAAATAAAGTTGTGTATTTGTACCACGACATATATACATGCACATGTTCAAATACCTTGGGGCCTATTTATATATATATTTAATAGATATCCACACTACATAAGGTACTCTATGGATTTACCACTTGAAAATGAATATTATTGTAGGATTGTGTGTCATTGTTATGTGTGATCGTGTCCACCATGGAAGTACTGACGTAGATATTGAGAATTCATTGGTTTGTACTAATCAGATAGATAGATCAGATAGAGGAAGATAGATAGAAAAAGGCTGCATGCAAATACCATTGATATATACATACTAAAATTAAATGAGGAAAACATAATTTGAAAGCAAACATATTGTGTAAAAGTGTGTGTTTAACATTAGATTTTATATCTGTCTTCAGATGACAATTTAATTTCAAATTCCATTCCCAGTATTTAATATTAGGAAAGAGCTGAACATTATATACAGACCAACACATCTTTATTAAATCTAGTCTGCCAATTTTGTGTTTCCTCAGTTAAAAGATTAAACTTATCAGAATATGGTACAAACGTCTTAAATGTTAGCTTAAGCGCAGTACTTGAGTAAATCTATGATGTTACTTTTGTTAATGTGAAATGCAGAAGAATACTGTACACATAGACTTTTAGAAAACCATTGGTGCAAAACATTTCTTGTTCAGAAGTCCAGACATTAATCAGCTCAGTGTCCTCTGACTGTTTTTATCTGAGCTAAAGAAAACAAACAGACAAACAGAACAAACAGAAGAAACATTCGTCACCAGGACATTTCTACAGAGCCCAAACAAATGAGGTCAGCCATGTTTGTGGAGTTCAGTGAGAAGCTTTGAACTCACCTCTCTCTCCACAGGTGAGCTGTCTCTGTTTCCTGGTTCACTTTACATTGTTGGATAAAGTGTTTTCTTCCCTCAGTGAGATAAACAGCTCAGGCAGCTCCGTGCATCAACTTAGTACATGTAGGATACATTTTAAAATAATGTGCCTTTAGCGGAGTATTGGCTGGTTTCATGTACGGATGCGAATACATCGTGATGTTATTGTTCGATTTCCGATGTTGTCTAAACGCTGTTAACGTCTATTTGTTTGATTTATCTAGTTTATCTTAAATTCACAGCTGCAGCCCAGCGTGGAGCACAACCACAGACTTTTATTTTGTAGGAGAGCTGTTTCCGTCTCAGGATTTCCTTAAATTTTCACTTTAAAGGACCAAGTTGAGTCTGAGTTTAATTGAGTCTTCAGCTCTTTATATACAGTCTATGGTCTTCAGCAGCGTTAAGACAGCATTGCAACACAGACATTAATTTAGGTAATAACCCACCAAAGTGAAAATGTATATATATATATATATATATATATATATATATATATAAAACATGAAGAACTGCAGCATGCACGGATCATAAACCCTGCATTCAAAATCTTACTTATGTTAAAGTACAAAGTATATTCAGCATAATGTACCTAGAGTATCCAAAGTAAAGGTATCAGTTTCGCTGTAAAAGGACCATTGACTGACATATTATCATAAAGTACAAGTGAATGTATGTGTGTGAATCCATGTTGTTACTTTCCACCACTGACCATGATTTCAAATGTGAAATGCAGAAAATGAATATATATGTAGACTTTCAGAAAACACATTCAGTGAAACAAATTAATTGCACATATATCCAGATTTTAATGAGATCTCACTCACTTTTCTTCTGCCATTTTTTTCTGTGATAAAAACAAACAAACAAATGTCCCATATCAATTTTGGTAGACTTGCTGTTCTGGCAAGAAAAGCTCTTAAATTCATAATAAAGGATATAAGTTCTTACTGTTTATACTCCCACTATTTACATGCTGGAGTTCTGAAAAGAAAACCACTGATTGATTAACAGGTCAATGTAAAACACTATTAGACTTTTTTGCTGTAATAATTGATCATGATTGATTGACTGGTTTGTTTTTGTGTCTTCCAGTTGGGCCTGGATTTTACCCTCCTGTGATGCATCGACTGTCTCTGCCAGACGACTCGGAGCAGTGGGGGGTGGACCCCTCGTACTCCATGACACACAGTGCAGAGGCCATGGCCAAAGTTAAGGGCATCGGTCGAGGCAAGAAATACAACCTGATAGCTCAAGTGATACCAATATACGGCTTTGGAATCCTTCTCTACATCATCTTTATAATCTACAAGGTGAATACTTTGAGGGAACTGCTTGGTGGGAGTGTGAATATAAAATAATATCATCATAAAGCTTTTCACTGTATTGATGCATCATCCTGCACTCTGTGTTGTCACGTAAAGAGAAATACCATCGTGAGCTCTGTGACAGTTGTAACTTGTGATTTTGAGCAGTTTTGTTTACAGGATGAATTTTTTAAATCACCAATGATTGTTATTGTAATCATAATCGTCTTCATGTTGACAGCTGACTTGTAAGAATAAGACAAAAGAGTCAGGAAACGACACAACAGGTACCAGGACACACGTGGAGAACACGATAAGTAAGTACCTAAGCAATGTTTAGTGAATTAGTTTTTTCTAGTCTTGATAACACTTGTTGATACAGTACAGTTTTGCTATTCACACACATTCACACAGTGCTTATGTGCAGTTCTTTCTCTATCACACATCACTCGGCACATCAGGGGCAATTTAGGGTTCAGTATCTTGCTCAAAGACATTTTGAAATACAGAATTGGAGAGACCAGGTTTTGAACCGTGACCTTCTGGTATGTGCATGACCCAATAAACTTCCTGTGCCATAGCCACCAATTTATCTATACATATGAACAGCCCAAAAGGTTTCAACACTTAAACATCATTTATCCTCAAAGGCCAAAAGAAAATTTGCCTACACTCCTTAACCCGTGTGTACATATTCATTTCCAGGCCTTCATATCACTTCCAAATATGCTAATTTGCACATTATATTTTGAAATTAAGACATTTTCGTGTGTCGATCTTGTAGCAACAGATTTCCAGCTCGCCAGGCTTCAGGACAGACTGCTGCAGTCCGAGAGGATAATGGAGAGGATTGCCTCCCGAAAGAGTTCTGCTTCGGGGAGGTAAAGGATTTTTTCTATAGACAACACTTCTCTTTGCCCATAGGTCAGAGAACCATAGAAACTGTTTCACATGCGGCTAAATGAGTGTTGACCTGGCATGAAAATGAAAGAGCTACAAATGGAAGAAATGGCTTCTGACATGTTTTCACTGGAAAGATGCTGCTGCTGCTTTTTTTAATCCTGTGGTCATATAATAGCATGAATTTTGAATGAAGTGAGTTTAGAAGTAAATGGAAATGGCTTTTTATAAAAAATGATTAATACAAACAATACTCACAGATGTGGTAATGAACACTAAGTGATTATTTCTATGGTAATTATTGTCCCAATTAATTGATATAGAAGTAATAAACCTCAATTCACACTGTCAGGGCTTTCACAATTCCACCACCAAAGAGAAATATGGATTTATCTTATATAAGACCAACTTCATGACCTCACTTCCATACCTCTGCTGCCTTCTAGTGGCAGAAGGAGGAAGAGTAAAACTACAACATCAAAGAAGGAGGAGAAATTACTCAGGCAACTTCGACAGACCTCACAGCTGATGCAAGACGGCCGCCTGGAGGCAGCCTCCCCGGAGATGGAGGCGGAGGAGGTCCCCTATGGTGCAGACTGGGAAGGTGCATCCTCAATCTCCTTACATAATGTTTTCAATCTAGATCAGACCCTGGCCTCAAAGCAATCAAACACATTTGAATTAAGAATTCATGGAGTATTTTAATTAATGTCTGTGTTTGTGCACTGATGCAGGCTACCCAGAAGAGACCTACCCAGAATACAATGACAATCTCAGCATCAGATGTAGATTTGACACCGTGACATTGGAGGAACCCCGCAACCAGCTTACTGCCGAGGCCCTGGCTGAGAGGATGGAGCAGGAGGAGGAAGAGGCCATGGCAAGAAAGCTGTCCATTGTGCACGAGGAGGATGAAGAGCAAGAGGAGGTGGAGGGAGAGGGAGAGGAAGAGGAAGAGGAGAATGAAGATGAAGAAGTGGAGGAAGTAGTGGAGGATGTAGAGGTGGGGGAAGAAGGGGAGGAAGAGGAGGAGGAGGAGGAGGAAGAGGAGGAGGAGGAGGAGGAGAAAAGGCAGCTGCTCAGTCCTCGTTTATCGAGGCCCGCTGCAGAGAGGAAGCAGGAGAGACTCGGTTTGGAGGTGAGCAAAGAGCTGCAGTGTCACATTGGAGGGAAGAAGCAAATAAGCTTCAGTGACCATGAGGATGTGTTCCACTACCCTAAAGAGGACACTTGTGAGGGAGAGGAGGAAGAGGAGGAAGAGGAGGAGGAGGTGGAGGAGGAAGATGAGGGGAAAGAGGTAGAAGAGGAGGCTGATGAAGATGATCCAGTGATGGAGGCAGAGAGTCTCCAGTTCAGTTGTGAAAGTTGCCCGAACCCGGAGGAAGAAGCCGAGGAGGATAAAGAGGAGTATTCGTCCGCTACTGAAGAGGGTGATGGTCGTACACATGCAGACGTGCCCAAAGAAGTGGGAGTGAGCGGGCTGAGGATGAGGAACAGGAGAGAGACGTGAAGGCCTTGACCTTCAGCTGGTTTTTAAACATCAGTCTTCCTCATACTGTCTCGTGTTTCTTGTCCTTTGTGTGTAAAACATAGAACCCAAGCTCAAGAACAACCTCCTTTCCCAGAATTCATATAAAGGTTCTTAAGATTTTAACATGCAATTAATTACATGTCTAATAACCTTTTCTCAAAGGTGGTTTGGTGAAACGTCAGGAGTCGCTGCTGGGACCGACTGGTGATTGGTTGAGCATGTGCATCAGCTAAACTTTGATAAGAGATGTCATCAGTAAAAGACGGCAGTATGTTGGAGGAAGTGGAGTCATGTCATCCGTCGACAGTCTATGGAGGAAAGACAGTTACAGTATTGTTCAGTCATATTCAAGACTAACCGATGTGATTGACTGATAGCAATTTCCTTTCTCTTAGTTTGTCTTTGAAAGAACAGAACACATGTTTTGAATTACTGAAGTTTAATTTTTTTGCCATGATCAAATAACTGTGTCTATACCACCACAGTAGATTGTACACCGTTTACTGTACATTACAATGAAAGCACTAGAAACAGAAGATGAGCGAACTTTTGGCTCCTGGACACACGTATGAAAAGCAAACTTTACAGCAAGAGTATTAACGATTTTAAAATAGAAATTTAAAATAGTTAGAACACAGCTGAATACAAGAATAGCACATTTGATAAAGATTTCCTCATAAACCACAGTAACAATAGCGGTATCAGAGATTGTTCTTTGCCTTCATTCAGCATCTTTTTTTCCCCCCCCAACGATCATAAAATACAAAATACCATCATATATTTGAGAAAGTATACTGCCCCCATGAGGAGCAAACAGGAATAATATCTGAAGTATAAATGTGAACAGCGATAAACGTGTGATAGAAACTTACTGCCAGGAATGTACCACGCTCCACAACAGAGGAGCGAACAAAACAAAGATGTAGAGAGCAACAACTGAGTTGTGAGTGTGCACAATGAAAATGATTATTCACTTCTTTAATGTGTGCTGAGGGCTGAAAATATAATTTAAATATTTACGGTCAATCACAAATGTGACATGCACTTTGGATTATCATCCTACAGAGGTTTGCAGCCACTAGATATTTAATCAGTCGGAATGGATTTTCACAATAGGCATCTTGATTAAAAGTAGCTACAGAGAAATATCCAATGCATGTTTCGGAGAAGCAAGAATCGCAGAGACCCGATCGAGCTCAGCTGATTTCACGACCGCAGCTTAACACTGGAATTAGTCTTCAAAGGCACAATAATGTATGTACAGTTATATCTCATCCACGATAGACCTCAAAGTAAAGTGCACCGTCGTCCTATACAAATACATACATGACACTGGCACAATCTTGTGTATGGTTCACAGCACAGTGTAACATTTGCCCTGTTCATGTCCAAAGTCGCTAATTGTTATGTGTGGATACAAGAGATAATACTTGGTGTGAGGCTAATTTATGTGCTTGCAGCTCGATGGAGTCAATACTGCAGATGCAAATGACGACACAACTTAAAATGAACATGTAATAAATACATAAATAACAAAATAAATATCGTGACATGCATGTTATTTTTTAATTCAGTAACTATATGATCAGTATTCATGCTTGAGGAAGTTTTTTTTTGAGTGGCAAATAAAAGTTAACTTTTAAAACTTACTGATGTTTAGCTGTTAGTGATAATTTACAGATGACGAAATGTTAAGTTTCTCTCACTACTACATGAAGAACAGTGTTTTTTTTAAATGCCGTTACAGTACAAAATGACTATAGTTATCAAAACAACTGGATTTGATTTTGAAAGTGGATTTCTCTTTGTGCTTGTTTTCTTCCACTGACCGAAACCATTCTGTATCACCCACCCACCCACCCACCCGCACACTCCCCAAACACACACACACACACACACACACACACACACACACACACACAGACATACGCAACTTGAGGCCCGTGGAGCATTTTGGGAAATGCAGAACTTCCAACGTGCTGGGCTGGTCCGAAGATCTCAGGGATCTGCTCCCAGCCCAGGGAGACAGTAACAGCCCTTGTTTAGAGCACAGATGGAGCAGTTCAGGCTGGGATCTATTCACAGGCTAACTTGCTGTCAAAGCTGGAGAGAGCGATGGCAAAGGCTTGCAGGGCACACATGGGGTAGTTATAGTCCATGGTGAAGACGTCTTCTGCCACGCGGCCAAACTGCATCACAATATAGTCGGCTGCAGAGAACAAGGTCACAAATGTCCTCTTCAATATTAAATAAGGACAGAAGTAATCATGAAACAAACAGGGAAGATGTTTATGATTAGCTTATTTAAAATTCTTCAATGTATTGGACCATTTACAAATTTCATAGATTTCATGGTGTATTTTGATTGTATTGATTCAAAGGATTACACATTCATCTTTTTTATTCATGTAACAGTATCACATCTCATCATTTATTATCTTTTGTCTCATTATTTATAATTTAGTTTCTACTTCCCCCTCTGTTCTAGAATGGTAAAGAATGGATGAACCTGTAAACTGTGTTTCATATTAAATCAATGAATAAACTGTAGGTGTGGAACTCACGGTCATTGTCATGAATGATTTGGAAATTCTTGACAGAGGCCTGAGTGACTCTGCCATGGAAGTTGAGCACGTAGGATTGTGTGTCGTCGTTCCACACGGGCGTCTTGTTGTGAAGTTCAATCACACTCTCGGTGTTCTTGTTCTGCCACCTGGCCAGCAGGGACTCGTGGTCCTGTGACGACGACAGAAAGAACAACTTTAAGCATGCACGTCATACATGTCCGATCGATTATTAAAGTATTAGAAGAGGTTGAGGAGGTGGGAATTAGGAATCACATACATTTCGTGGGCGAATAGACACTCTCTCATGGTCCATGTTCATTCCAGGAATGATGACGCTCATTTTGCGAGGTCCTTTGAAGCCAAGGACATTGGTTTCCTAGATCAAAGAAATCATGTGCAAACTTATTTAATTGTATTTTATTATATTAAATATTATTTGTATCACATCTGAAAGTGCATCACATGAAATAAATGACACATTTACATTGATCTTTTTTATTTATTTAACAGTTCACTTAAAAATATACATACAAACATTACACACTGTAGTAGGACAGCTTTATCTCTCTCTTAATAGCTGTAGATGTATATCTTTCTATTTTGAAATTTAAAGAGGAAGGAGAGAAAAAGAAAAAGGGAGAACTAAAATGAATGCCTCATTGTTAAGAAGCAGTTTGCATCCATGTCTGTGTTTTTTGTCAAAGTAGCGATGTGAGTTATGGTCAAATCCTGTTTTGTGAGGTAGTTTTTGGTTGAGTTCAGTTTTATAAAAGAAAAGTAATTGGGTTAATCCAGTGAATGATATAGCAAAATGTTATAGATTTCTTTTTTTTTTTTTAATTATTCATATTTTTATATTTCTGTGAGAGGTGGATTAATGTAATATCACCTTTCATATATGATATACAGTATTATATTTGTCTTAGATAACATGTGTCTTCAGCAATATATTAATCTGTAGAACTCGATGAGATTCTCATGGGTTGAGAAGTGCTTTGACCAACTCACATAGCAAATGGCTGCAAGTTCTTGACGCAGATTACTCGCTTCCAGACTGGTGGTGCTCTTCATCGGGTTCAGACCGCTGTCATATACGGTAAACTTGGTTCCCATGAGGTTAGACCTTCAGAGAAAGCATAACACTTAGGGCGTGTGTGTGTGTGTGTGTGTGTGTGTGTGTGTGTGTGTGTGTTTGTGTGTGTCATAAGTGAAAGACACATGAACACAAAAAGCATTACCATGTTTCAGGTAGAAGTATGGACTACCAGGTTACAACTATAAATAAATAATAATGTTTCATTCGTTTTTTTAAGATGCAGCTTTAAATGTACAATATGTAACTTTGGCCACAAGGGGTCTGTCAGTCAAAACAATAGAAAAAGACTAGTTTGATGACATGAAGCAGCATGGGATCATGGGAACTGTAGTCTTCACCACCATTGCAGAAGAGATGAGACACGATTCAGGCGCAGAAGTGTGATGCATTAAGAGTGACCTATACACACAATGAGGAAAAACAGCTGACTGGCAAACTGGCTTCATCATATGTCGGGTAAAGCTACAGGTAAAGTCGATATGATGCAATTAACACGTCCTGTTACCTTGAATAAAATCCAGGATTTCTCTGGGTTTGAACATTCTCAGAAACATTTTTGATAAAATACGTATGAGTGTCAACAAAACATACAAAATATATCTATTGTTTTTAGACATTTAAAAAAAGAATGAATGTCATTATCTTCACACTGTTGACTGTAAACCTCTTTTTCGGCCATACCTGTGTTAGACCAGGTCCCTCAAGAAGTTGAGAATCATTGGATGAAAGGTCAGCGCTGATTTAAATTTATATCTCCATCATTCAACTGGGATTCTGATTGCAAAGGTTCGAGCAGCGCATCGACCGACTGTCAGGCCGGCTCTGAAGATTAAAGGCTGCACAGAGCCACATTTGATTAAACTCTGAGGAGTTTCCATGGAGCCACTAACACAGCCCTGAAGCTGTTTCCAAGGATTATGTGGCCACTCACTTCCTCCCAATCTTAAACATTACAGCTAATATATATTTATGAGGGAGATATGAAAGTACAAGGTTTATACAATCATGAAAATTTTACATTTTCATTCCTGAAGATAAACAAGTGTGCGACATTGCGCTCCTCTACTAAATCATGTCTTACATATGTGAATTTTAATATAATGCTGTACAAGCTCTGCTTGTTGACTGTTCATAAGTTAGCAGTTAGATGCTGATTTGTTCGTGAGAGCAGCTACAGTCACAGTTTTGTGAACGTTACTGTAAAGTGTTAATGATGCATTTTTTTCAGAGGGCTCATACGAGTTAATAAATTAAGGAATTGGTGTAGATTTCCACTGTATTCTAGTTATTTACAAAAGGAAATATATTGAAATCAAATTAAATATCCATTAGATATTAATAATAACACATCAATACAGGACAATTATATAGGTAAATAAAAAACAGCGTTGGTCGATATGTATACAGTTTCTCAGCGCACATAATTCCTAGTGATATGTTCCAAGGCCTCGGAGGACTTACCTCAGCTTACCGATGAAGCTCTCTCCACCTCTGGACAGATCCGTGGGGTCAATGGAGATGAGGTAATTAGACGTCTTACTCTTTTTCCTTTTCCGGCCAGCTAAAAGAAACACCTGTGACAAGCCAAGCCAGAAATCAATCAATCAATCAATCAATCAATCGAATTGTATACGTATAGCCCATATTCACATATCAAATTTCCACAATAATTGCCTATTTATTAACAAGGTGTGATATCCTATGCCCTTAACACTCGACAACAGGGAGAAAAAACTAACAAAAACAACCTCCAAAAAAGAGCCGCATGTGAAACCATTAAGATTCAGTGTGACACACATTAGTGCATTTGGATCTCCTCGGCTTTACACTAGAAAACAATCCCTTAAAAATAATGTTCTGCAGATGATAAACAGATACTGTTCACATGTGAGAAAATATTTGAATATCTGAGTTTAAAATCTCATACTGTACATGTCTAGGTAAATTATGTTGTTTAAAGTAGCAATATTTCCGCTCATCTCACCTTCTTGCCGTCCTCCCTCTCCAGATGCAGGTAGTAGGTGGGATACATGCCTCTGTCCATGCCCTTCTTGTCTCTGGTGATTCTGCACTTCACTCTGACCCCCTGGGGTGCAGGTCGCAGAGAAAACTCTTCAAGGTCGTCGACATCGATGGCAGGCTCGCTGACGGGAGGAGTGGGTGCTGAGGCCACCTCCTGCAGGAGAACATAAGACGCACAGCTCAAGACCTCTCGTGGCGAGTGATGCATCAGAGCTGACTTTTATTAGAGCAGAGTAATGAGTCTGAGGATCAAATCGTCCACCGGGAGAGAGAGAATTAGCGCACATTGTCTAAAATAAGGACCTTGTGCAGAGATGGAGTTGAGTGGAACGAGGAGCAAAGAAAAATGATTGTTATCTGTAGTGTTTCAGCCGACATTTCGTTCTAGGGCGAGCTGCAGAGAGGATGGGTTTTTGAAGAGAGCTACACATTTTTCGGGCCTTGGTCGAATCTATCACACCTGAAATGGAGAAAAACTAAATCTACACATCCTGTTCTTAAAGGCCCAGTGTGTAAGATTTAGGTTAAAGGGAACTATTGGCAGAAATTCAAAGTAGAATAATCCTCATGATGTTTTGACTAGTTCATTTCATCAGATATCACAAAATTCTACACACTGTACCTTTAACTTCAAACATTAGACAAAGCAGATAAACAGATCACTAATGTTTATCAGTCTAATCCCTGAGTACCAGGAGAACACCCCCCACAGACACTTGGAGAACATGCAAACTCCACACAGAAAGACCCAGGCCGAACCAAACCAGGAGTGTTTCTGCAAAACTCTTCAAATCAAATTATCTGTTTTTCCCTTATTCTTTGTTCCACCACCTGCACACTGTACCACCCACACTATCACAAACCAAGCAAAACTACTTTTAGTCATCTGCGTGGAAAAATAAACGATAGGCCAGCAAAAGCCCCAAAATAATTCCAGAACTGTTTGTAGATAAAGCATCAGTTGTGATGCATGTTATTTGCATCACAACTGTAGAGGGTCCTGCTGCGTGACTAAGTGGAACCTCAATTTTCTTTCTCTGGTTGTTATTCAGATATAAAAGGAACTGAACAAAAACACATCACGCAAAGAATAGACGTGAAGTTTCACCTTGCATGACTTCCTGCTTGTGGCAG